CCCTTAAAGCTCATGTGACTCAGCTATAACACTCATCCCTTTGCTGCTATCATCTACCAACCTCCCTGTTACCTCCCTCAATCACTAAGGGCTTTCCTGCCTAAAGTCTTCCCTTTTACTCTAAACACTGCTATCATCCTCAGAGATTACCGACATCCCTGAGATCAAACTGTCCAAAACTATAGTCTTTCAGTTCTTTGACATCCTCATCTACAATAATCTACCTCTCCACCTTGCCCTACCTTCCCCTCCCCCCTTCCTGTGGTCACTATCTGGGATTGAGTCATCGTCTGAAATTGACCCACTTAAAGAAAACATAGCTCAGGTACGCCATTCTAACCAATCTCTTCTCTTCTCTTGGTAGCCTTCTTATAAACTACCCTCATAATACCCTCTTTGAACCTAGATGGTCTTAACTTAGTACCTTAACTTTCTTTCTCCCCACCTACCTTCCTCTTACTACATCTTTTTTGTTTTGTTTTGCCTACTTATTCCATGTTCCATCTTGTTAAAAATAACTCTTAGGAAATATCTTAAACTTCTTAAATTCCTGTTTTGCAAAACCTCAAGTCCAAATGAAACCAAATATCTGCTTTTTCCATACTCATACCCAAGCTCAAGGAGAAAAAGTAACATAAAAGGACAGATACAAGTATCAACCTCAATGAGGGCACAATGTCTTTTCTCTGTTAAAATTACTTTCCATTCTCCACAAAATTTATTTCAAATTTTCTCCCATCTCTTCAAACTCCTAATTCCTATCATTTTCTTCTCTTCACAGAAGAGAAGCTATCAAATAAGAAGTCTTGCAACTTCTCCCTACTAAGTAACCTATATACACTCTTAACACCCTCTAATCTGCTTCCATCAAAGAGGTCTCCAATACTACCAATGTAAGGCTTTGCCAATCCATATTTAACTTGATGTTTCAGAAGTACCTGACATAGCTGATCAACTGAATCTCTGAAGCATTCTCTTCCCTGTGTGGTAGATTGAAAAATGCTTTTCCAAAGATACCAGGTCCTAAGAAATATTTATTTGATTTAGTCCCAGTTTCTGACACACAGTTTCTAAAATAAAATCCTTGCAATCTCTGCAGCAGCGGTCAGGGTCTTTTGTATGCTAATCAGATGGTGGGTGGTTAGAGGCCATAGGTAGCTTCAGGATATGTACCAGTTTCAAGAAATACCAAAGCATGATTAGAGGGTTGGAATTGACCTGCAGAGAGAGGAGAGTGGCTGGAGATTAAGTAAATCACCAATGTCCAGTGATTCATTCAATTGTGCCTACACAGTAAAACTCCATAAAAACTTCTACTAAATGGTGGGGTTTGGAGAGCTTCCAGGTTGGTACAATCAAGGTGCTAGGAGGATAGCATGCTTAGAAAGGGCATGGAAACTCTTCAACTCCCCCCCCCCCTTGCTTTGTCCTATGGTTTTCTTCCATCTGGCAAATCCTGAGCTGCACCTTTTACAATAAACCAGCAATAAAGTACTTCTCTGACCTCTGTGAGCCATTTCTTGCAAATTATCAAATCTGAGGTAAGGGCTTGTGGGAACCTCCCCACCTTGACTTTACAGCCATTTAAGTCAGAAGCAAGGGTGACACAGACTTACAAACATTTAAAGTGGGGGGTAATCTTACAGTACTGGGCCTTTAACCTGTGGGGTGTCAGTTAGTGTCAGTCTTGAATTACAGAACACCCATTTAGTGTCCAGGGAACTGGAGAGTGGATTGCTCTGAGGAAAAAATCCACACATTTGGTGTCAGAAGTATTGTGTAGGTAAAAATAGCTCAGGGTAAAGCTTTGGCAGATGTGATTACATTAAGGAGCTTAAGATAAGACTACTCAGATGGTACCTAAATGCCATCATAAATACAGGACAGAGGGGGATTAAATAGACAGAAAAGGGGAAGTCCATGTGACCACAGAGGCAGTGAGTGACTAGAGTGGTGCAGCCACAACTCAAGGAATATTGGCTGCCACCAGAGGCTGAGAGTCTCAAGTGGGAGCTGGCCCTGCCAACACCTTGATTTTGACCCAGTAATACTGACTTCACATTTGTTACCTCCAGAACTATGAGAGATAAATTTCTGTTGGTTCAAGTCACTAAATTTGTGGTAATTTGTCAAAGCAGCCAGAGAAAACTAAAACACTGGAGCTTCTTTAATAATTCACTGTCCTGGTATGCTGATATCAGTTCTTCTTGGACTTTTAGTAATTAATCATTCTTTACCTAAACAATAAAAAAAAAAAGGAATTCGGGGATCCCTGGGTGGCGCAGCAGTTTGGCGCCTGCCTTTGGCCCAGGGCGCGATCCTGGAGACCCGGGATCGAATCCCACATCGGGCTCCCAGTGCATGGAGCCTGCAACTCCCTCTGCCTATGTCTCTGCCTCTCTGCCTCTCTCTCTCTCTCTCTCTCTGTGACTATCATAAATAAAAAAAAAAAAAAAAAAAAAAGGAATTCTTCAAAGGCTACTTCTATTCCTTTACTCTGATTAATTTCATCCACATCCATAGCAATTACCACCTTGATACAACAAATCCAAATGTCTATTTTTAACTCTGATCTCTCCTCTGATTTGAAACCCAATTGCCTACATATTTTCATTTAGATGTTTCCAAAGCACCTCTAATTCAACAACTTTAGAAACCAGACCCAGTTCTTCTTCCAGTGTTCCTTGTTTTATCAAATGGTATTCTGCCCTCCAATAATCACATTTAACCTTCCCTCTTTCCTTGGAATATGTAAGATTCTCTCCTGATAGCTTCTGCATATGTATTCTCTCAGCCTAGATAACTCTTCCCAAGTTCTACTCAAATCTACTTCCTCTCCTTAGTATTGAGGAGCTCTGGCTCACCCTCCAAATCTCCATTTCGGCTCAACTGCCAACTTCTCAGGAGAGTTTTCCCTCACTCTCCAAACTCAACTGTGTGTCTTTATACACTTTCATGATACCAAGTTCTTCATATCATTTATCAGAGTTCTTTTTATTTTTTATTATTTTTGGGTATATATATATATATATATATATATATATATATATATATATATTTTGGAGTTCAATTAGCCAACATACAGCATAACACCCAGTGCTCATCCCGTCAAGTGCCCACCTCAGTGCCCATCACCAGTCACCCCAACCCCCCGCCCACCTCCCTTTCCACCACCCCTTGTTCATTTCCCAGAGTTAGGTGTCTCTAATGTTGTTACCTCCATTGATATTTCCCACGCATTTTCTCTCCTTTCCCCTTCATTCCCTTTCACTATTTTTATATTCCCCAAATGAATGAGACCATATAATGTTTGTCCTTCTCCAATGGACTTATTTTACTCAGCATAATACCCTCCTCCACATCAAAGCAAATGGTGGGTATATGTCGTTTCTAATGGCTGAGTAATATCCCATTGTATACATAGACCACATCTTCTTTATCTATTCATCTTTTGAAGGACACCGAGGCTCCTTCCACAGTTTGGCTATTGTGGACATTGCTGCTAGAAACATCGAGGTGCAAGTGTCCTGCCATTTCACTGCATCTGTACCTTTGGGGTAAATCCCCAGCAGTGCCATTGCTGGGTCGTAGGGCAGATCTATTTTTAACTCTTTGAGGAACCTCCACACACTTTTCCAGAGTGGCTGTACCAGTTCACATTTCCACTAATAGTGCAAGAGGGTTCCCCTTTCTCCACATCCTCTGCAACACTTGTTTCCTGCCTTGTTAATTTTCCCCATTCTCACTGGTGTGAGGTGGTTTCTCATTGCCGTTTTGATCTGTATTTCCCTGATGGCAAGGGATATGAAGCATTTTCTCACCTGCTTGTTGGCCATGTCTATGTCTTCCTCTGTGAAATTTCTGTTCATGTCTTTTGCTCATTTCATGATTGGATTGTTTCTTTGCTATTGAGTTTCATAAGTTCTTTATAGATCTTGGATACTGGCCTCGTGTTCACCCGCGTGTCCTGTGCCGGGGTGTGGCCCTTGGCCCTTCTCCCCCCGTTCCTGTCCCTGTGGGCGATGGGGTCTTGGCTGGGTCCCTCATGACCTCCTCCTCCTGTGTCTCTGCCCACCTGGGGCTAGAGGGCCCTTGTGAACAGCCTACGGGGTCAGCCAGAGGCATTTAGCCGCCGGGGCACCATGATCTGAGCCCCTGTCCATCTGTCTGTCCGCCCCACGTGCTCTGCTGGGTTCCGTGGCCACTGCGCAGGACCGTTGGCCAGCCTGCCTCCAGCCTGCCCACCCGCAGCGGCTCTCCTCCTGGGAACTTCGAGTGGACCTCTGTGGAGATCCCAGCACTGGGGCGGATCCCGGGGGGAGGACGGGGCCGCTGGCCTCTCCCTGCTGTGCAGACCGCGGGGTGCAGACCGCAGGACACCAGCGGCACCTGCAGAGTGGGTGTGACTGCGCCTCCACCGGCCCAGCCGCGCCTCAGAGCCTCTGACCCCACTGTTGCTCGAACTGCACGAAGCAGGAGCCTGAGTTTCTCCAGAAAATGGCCTTGTAGAAGGAACGAAGATGTGACAAATCTGTGCCTTAACGAGGAACCTAAGCAAGACGCCAGAAGGACCGGAGTGTCCCGGGCACCTCGGCAGCGCCCTGTGAGTGGACGAGCGGGGGACACCTGGTGGCCCCTGAGCCCTTGCTGGCCGGGCTTCCCAGGGCCCCGAACACTGCCCCCCCCCCCCCCCCCGCTCCTGGCTGGTCGTCCCCGTCACACTGCCACGCCTTCCGCCGGCCTCGCCAGAAGCCCGGGCACCACTGCGGCCACACTTACTTGCTTTGGCTACTTGTGCTGAACACCACGCGGCGTCCAAGGGTGGCCACGACCCCCGCAGGTCGCAGCCAACTGGATGGGAGCCCCGAGCCCTGGGTCTCCCGGGTGTCCCTTCACATCCCGAGGCCCCTGGTGTGCAGCCCCAGCACTGACGCCACCCGGCTGCAGGGCCATGGAGCAGGTGTGGGAGGCTCCCCGCCCAAACGTTCACCCACACTCACCCTGAGCCCCCGCGGCCCCGGACACCTTGGTTACTCCGTGGCGAGGCGGACCAATCCTGGAAATAAAGACTCCAGTCCTTTCTGGAAAAAAAAAAAAAAAAAAAAAGTGACCTGATAGGTCATTTGCTAATATCTTCTCCCATTCTGTAGGTTGTCTTTGAGTTTTGTTGACTGTATCCTTTGCTGTGCAAAAGCTTCTTATCTTGATGAAGTCCCAATAGTTCATTTTTGCTTTTGTTTCCCTTGCCTTCATAGATGTATCTTGCAAGACGTTGCTGTGGCCAAGTTCAAAAAGGGTGTTGCCTGTGTTCTCCTCTAGGATTTGGAAGGATTCTTGTCTCACATTTAGATCTTTCATCCATTTTGAGTGTATCTTTGTGTATGGTGTAAGAGAATGGCCTAGTTTCATTCTTCTGCACAGGGCTGTCCAATTTTTCCAGCACCATTTATTGATCAGAGTTCTAACTGCTCACTTATTTTTGTGATTATTTCTCTTCTCCACTAGAGTATAAGCGCCAAGATGGCAGTGAATGCTTGCTTTCTTCACTCTATATCCTTGAAGCCTAGGCGTAGTACCTGGCATACAGGAAATGCCAAATAATATTTGATAAAGAAACAAATGAAAATTGAAATCTATTACTTCAAATATAAGTATCCTGGTAGTCACTGACACTCTTTGTATTTAATTACCGGGACTCAGGCAGCCCAGGTGGCTCAGCGGTTTAGCACCACCTTCAGCCCAGAGAGTGATCCTGGAGACCCGGATGGAGCCCTGCATCAGGCCCCTGCATGGAGTCTGCTTCTCCCTCTGCCTCTCTCTCTCTCTGTGTCTCTCTCATGAATAAATAAAATCTTAAATAATAATAATAATTATTACTGGGACTCTTACAGGTATACGCTGCTTTTTAAAAGTTTACATTATGCCAAATCACTTTAAGGAAAGGCCTATATTATTACCTGTTTTTGCAAACCAAAAGAAATCCAAAAAGAATTTCCATTTTTACAAAAAAGGGCAAAAGCCAAAAATAGCAATCAGCATTTGTTTTGCAGTGAGCCATTATAAAGGCAGCACACACCCTAAGCAACAAGAATGTACCACCAAGCTTCTTCCCCAGAACTACACTCAGCATCTCAGCATCAAATCACCATAGCTTTGAACTCTGTGAACATCGGTGCATTATCTCAATTTATTTTGTGCATTTGTTAGCAAGCTGTGTCCTGAGGTGCCAGAAAAGCCTGAGAAAGCTATTTTGGGGTTTGGGAATGCTCAAAAAAGTGTTCAAATACATTAATGCTGATTGCTTCTTTGCTTTACGCCATTTTAAAACACAAAAGGTAACATAAAGGAATGCTCTACTTTCAGGTGGGGATGTAGAACCTATGATGTGTTTTAATCCCTATCCAGATATTTAGATTTTCCTAAGAAAAAATTTCATTGTCTGTATTATCCATTATATATTAAATATGGTTCAGTTCCTTTAAAAGAATAGTGCTTGAAACATCTCTAAAAATACAAATTAATAAAGCAGATTTGTGTCTTGCATGTTGTAAGACAAGGATCAGATTTACCCTCTTTCAGTAACCAGAAAGTAGAAAAAAAATACAACACCATGATCAGACACTGGACAACAGAGAGATTAGGTCTGCCACCTCTGAAAAGAGAAAAACAAAGTAGGTAAACCCTATAACTGCCCTGCCAATCTGCCTGGGGGCCCCTTCCAGACGACTGTGCAGAATGGACTACACTTAACAGCATGGCAGCTTCAACGAGTTGAGAAGACACATCAGGAAGGCAAGGGTGTCTAGAATCTTGAGGCCAGAGTACAGACAAGAGAGCTACTCAGAGGAGAAAGAATTCCAGAAATCAATATGGGGTCCTCTTGTATCTCTGGCTGAATACTAATCTACACCTAAGTAAGGGAAAACTCCCCTAGACTGAGGAACAGGACCACTGCCAGGGAGTTATTAAGATGAACAATTTTCAGAATTCATTCAAAAACAAAGATAAAAATTACCAGACTTCTCTGAAACCATACAAGTCAGATACAAGGAAACTACAACTTTAAACTGCTGGAAAATAAAAATATCAATCCAGAAACACATATCATTTCTCCTTTTCCTTCTCATTCACAAGTGTACAAGAATTTTCCAAAGGCTAAGAGACCTGAGATTTCACAACAGGTATTTTTTCTTTTGGAAAATAGCCATTTTTCACCAAAAAAAAAAAAAAAAAAAAAAAAAAGTTGTTTATGTAAAAAAAAAAAAATTGCCATGTTAATTTGTAATTCGTTTATTATTTTGTAAATAAACTGATAAATATTTCTTAAAATTCTTAATTTTAGTTTCTAATAAGGTAGAACTTTGATAGCTACAGCCCATATAAAGAAAATCTCTTTGAAATCCTCAATTATTTTTAAGAACATAAAGGCATTTCAAGACTTAAAAAATGGGGAATTATAGCTTTGGGAATTAGTGGCCCCATCAAATTAGTGTTCATTCCCTTGTGATGGTAAAGAGCCTATGCAAAACCTTTTCATTATAAAATCAATTTTTCTAATAAATACACAGCTTTCTTGCAGTGTCAATCTGGCTAATGTATATCTTTAAAAAGAATTTTTCTGTCCCATCTAAGTTGTTTAAGAATTAGTACACACTTGTTTATAATACTCCCTTAGTCTGCAGGATAGATATATTGTCATGTCCCTCTTTTATTCTAGATATTGGTAATTTGGGGCTTTTCTCTTTTTATACTAACCAGTCTGGCTGGTGAGTATATTGCCAATTTTGGCAATTTTTTCCCCCAAAATTATTAACTATATAAATCTTGCCAATTTTCCCCCAAAATTATTAACTATATAAATCTTGCCCTAAAAGTACTTGACACAAATGGGAGTTTTTGGTGATAGCCTATGAGACCTCATAAAACACTATAACAATAATGTATAATGAAATATTTTGACATTTAGAAGATCTGCAGACCTCACTCAACCAGTATTTTCCAAATCATCAATGCACCAGCAAAAGATTAATTAAAATGCAAGACAGACCAATGGATTTTATTTATTTACTTATTTTTTAAGATTTTATTCATTTACTCTACACAGAGAGAGATCGTGTGCACAAGCAGGGGAAGATGCAGGCAGAGGGAGAAGCAGGCTCCCTCTTTAGCATAGCAGGGAGCCCGACAGAGAACTCGATCCCAGGACCCTGGGATTATGACCTGAGCCAAAGGCAGATATTTAACTGACTGAGCCACCCAGGCACCCTTGACCAATGATTTTAGTATAATAGAATATGAAAAAATTATTTATATGGCTTCAGATTTCACAGGTGTTAAACTGTCAAATTTTGATGCTGTATAAAAGAGAAATATTCAAATAATCTGTGTAATGAAATGGGAAGCTCTCACATTAGCGCTTTTGCTGTATAATGGAAAACTAATGGTTGTCTCAAGGTAAGGCACCTGAACAACTATTTGAGTTCTCAACTACTTTTCCATAGGATACCATTTTTAGTTGAAAAAAAAATGACAGATAGGGATCCCTGGGTGGCGCAGCGGTTTAGCGCCTGCCTTTGGCCCAGGGTGCGATCCTGGAGACCCGGGATCGAATCCCACATCGGACTCCCGGTGCATGGAGTCTGCTTCTCCCTCTACCTGTGTCTCTGCCTCTCTCTCTCTCTCTGTGACTATCATAAATAAGTAAAAATTAAAAAAAGTATCTATTTAAAAAAAAAAAAAAAGAAAAAGAAAAAGAAAAAAATGACAGATAAACTGTTAATTTGGAGTAGGGTACCTGAGAAGACATTTTCTCGAAAATGAACAAAGCAAACCTATTACTTCAAGGAAAACAAATGGCAGTATTTACTGTCAATGATAAAAATCAAACTTTCAAGTGAAAATTAAAATTTTGGAAAACTTAAACTTGCCACTGTGAACCTGGCAGCTTCCCAAGTTATTTCTGATAAGATAAGTAGTGATAAGAACAAATGACTTCTTGACACCCTATACCCTATAATGCAGCTGCTCTTAAATTTTTTGGATCGGCATCCCATATACTCTTTAAAATTACTGAGGATCCCAAAGAACTTTTCTTTATAATTTATACTGAATTATATCTATCAATAAGCATTTAAAACTTAACATTTAAAAACTTTAAAACTTAGTTAAATATAATAATAACAAACCTACTACATGTTACTATAACTAGCATTTTTGGGGATAATACTTTTCTTTAGACACTATTGAGAAAAGTACCACTGTTTTACATTTTTACAAATTCCTTTTCCTGTTGGCTTAATTTCAGACAGCTGGATTCTCTTATGTGCTTCTGCACTCTGTTGCCATATCACAGGTCAGGTCACAAGGCCTCAGGTCAGGTCACATGGCCTTGCTTCGTCTGTAAGCAAGAAAAACACTAACAAATTAGTACTGTTATACAAAAAGTCTGACTTCATGGAACCCTTGAAACCCTTTCCTATATTTTCTATTGTTAAGTTCAGAGATGTTAACAAACCTTAGCAGACTAAGATATGAAGACCAACATTGTAAATCGTCTCTTATTTTACAAAAATTCTTACTCTGTTAAGGACATATTTCTCTTAAAGTAAAATCTATTTTTCCAGGCTTTTTCCCTAACCAGACCAAAGCACTTATCACCACTCTAGTCCTCAACTGATGCATGCTAACACTACTTGGATCCATTATAAACATATACATGTTACGTGTGAGTCTGTGTATTTAAATATATATGATCTCTCTCACATACGCACAAACTATATCAAAAGAAAACACCAAAATATTATTAGCAAGATTATGAGTAGTTTTGATCTTTTAATTTTTAAGTTTCCTCAATATTCCATATCTATTTGTATTGAATTTTTAAAAAATAAACAGAAAGATGCTTCTCCCTACTCTCCCCCTCTCATTAGCACTGGATAACACTCTTTTCAAAAAAAGTGTGCCCTAACCTTAGGGAACCCATAGGCCTTAGTAACTACAGAGAAGGAAGAGAAAATTACACCAGGAAACAGGATGCAATGGACCTCATGTTACCATATCAAAGAACTAAAACTTAGAATTC